TTCAGCTTTATTAAGCCATCCAGGTCACTAGCAAATTTCTAGCTTTCAGTGTTAATTCTGGGCTATAGGATAGGGTATTGACACACAGGGACTTCGGAATAAATAAACCAGGGACATAAAGTGGGCCTTCTCTGAGCCATGAAATAGAATTTGGAAGGCTGCTTATTTAAGTGGATTCTTTTTTAAAACTTATCTATTTTTATTGATTTTGGAGAGAGAGGAAGGGAGAGGCAGATCGAAACATCAACATCAATTGGCTGCCTCCTGCACAGCTCCCACTGGGGATTGAGCCCGCAACCCTGACTGGGAATAGAACTGGTGACTTCCTGGTGCATGGGTCGACACTCAGCCACTGAGCCACACTGGCTAGGCTTAAGTAGATTCTAAATGGAGAGGAGCAGTCTGATTCTCACAGATGTTAACAATTGTATCTTTTTAAATTTTATTTAATTAAGTAATTTACTTTTTGTAAAATATTTTAAAGTGACAATTTTATTGTGTTTTTTTACTCCCATTGATCCCCTCCACCCCACATCAACCCCACCCCCAGGCCTTCATACATACCCTCATAAAAAAATTAAAGAACTGCACAGAATGTGATCACCCAGGCTAACATAGGCACTCCCTAAGCATTTACAATGATATATAATTTTTTAAAATCTTTATTGTTGAGAGTATTACAGATGTTCCCCCTTATTTTCCCCCCATTGGCCCCCTCCACCCTGCTCCTGCCCCACTCCAGGCCTTCACTGCATAATTGTCTGTGTATCTTTATAGATAAGATCTGTCTCAGTTTAGGGATTAACATAAAAATTACAGTGGATCTTAAACATGAGTAATGCTTTTCTGGAAAGAATTTTAAACAAGGAAAGATTGAAATAAAAGAGGAGGCTATGCTTCACCCTGTATATAGGAAAGAAAATTTCAATGAGAAGTATTTTCAAATGGTTTAGTATGATGTCTGTTCCAGATGGGGTTTTTTATTTGTTTTTATCTGTTAGTTTTTTGTTTTGTTTTTGCCATATTAGAAATTAAGTGCAGTTTTATAGCTCCCCCAAATTGTTGTTTCTTCAAATTGGTTTGGATATGATTGGAGACCTTTAAATTAACTCATTCAAAAGGCCATGAACCAAAAAAGAGTGATTTAGGATTGAAAAAACTCAATGGCTGTATTTTAAATTTATTTGGATTGATAAACATTACATTAATATCTGATACTAAACTGGGAAATGTGAATCTTGAGAAAAATAGAAATGGTTCCAATTCCTCATTCCTTAGCAGCAAATTGACAGTATATAAGCTCTGATTCATTTGACTTTTGTATTCCTGGTTTGGGAGATCAGTATCTGAAGGGGAAGGGAGTAATAGAACGTAGTGCCCTGGTTTTTCTTTTTGCCTTTAATTATTATTCCCATAATTTTGAACTCTATGAACCATTTTGAATTCTTAGTTCCATTCTTTTATGGTTATATTTCTCCTTTTTCTCCTTCAGTCACTTTGAAGGCACATCAAAACTTTATCATCATGACAGATTCTCTTATAGTGCTTATTCTTTGTCAGGCCCTGTTTTATGTGCTTTACTCATTTAATTATTACCATAACCTCCTGAAGTAGATGCCATTGTTTATGAGGAAATTTAGGCAGAGATAAATAACTTGATCACATAATAAGTGCTAAAATTAGAACTTGAACATAAAAGCTTGGGACCAGAGTCAGTCTGCTTTTATCACTTACCCTACATGCCCTTTCAAATGTAATTTCCTTTGTAATGCTTGAGTGTTGAAGGTTTTGAGGGAGCTGATTAGACTCCCACACTCTTGTCCAGGCAATTGAACCCAGTCTCCCAACTTCTAGAATAGAACTCTTTTTTTTTTAAAGCATAGTATTTTATTTTATTATTATTTTTTTTGATGTGTTTATTTTTGTTTAAAATATTAAAGATGTCCCTTTTTCTCCAATGAACCATTCCACTCCTTCCCACTCCCCTCCTCAGTCCCTCTCCACACCATTGTCCATGTCCTTGGGTTGTGCATATATGCGTATAAATTCTTTGGTCAATCTCTTCCCCTCCACCCACCCGCCCTCCTCCATCCCTCTGAGATTCATCAGTCTGATCCATGCTTCCATGTCATTGAATCTAGAATAGAACTCTTTATATCATATCAACCTGTAATTCATGGTCATCAAAGAATAACCATTTAGGGGGTGAGAGGAGGAGATTCCTATGTTAAAACTTTTATTTTTTTAAATTTTTTCCCTATCTTAAAACTTTCAAACTTTCAACTTATCATATGGTTTTTCTTCTTTATTAACATTGATTGCTTTTTAAATATCAAATCAACCTTGTATTTCTGGGATAAAACCTACTTGGTCATGGTGTATTACCTTTTTAATACATTGCTGGATTTGTTTTGCTTATATCTTAATGCGGATTTTTATATTCATGTTCATGGGGGTTATTGGTCTGTGTGTTTTTTCCTTGTAATAGCTTTAGCTGGATTTGGTATGAGTTGGGACCTGTTTCCTCTACTTCTTTTTTAAGGGTTTGTGTAGAATTGCTACCATTTTTTCTTGTTTGTAGATTTCAGTAGTGAAGTCATCTAGCCGTACTTGGCATTTTCTTTTGGGGAAGATTTTAAATTACGAATTAAATTTCCTTAATTAGGAAATTATTGAGATTTTCAATTTTTTCTTGAGTCATTTTTGCTGAATTGTGTCTTTCAAAAGAACTCTTCTGTTTCCTCTAAGTTGTCTGATTTATTGACATAAAGTTATTCATAATATTTTCTTGTGACATCTGTAGGATACATAGTGATGTCCCTTCTTTGATTCCTCATATTATTAATTGGTATCTTTTTCCTTTTTTCCTTTATCAGTCTTGCTAGGTGCTTATTAATTTCATTAATCTTTTCGAGGAAACAACTTCTGGCTTTGTTGATTTTTCTCTGTTGTGTATTTCTAATTCATTGATTTTTTCACTCTGTTATTTCTTTTTTGTTAATCCTCACCTGAGGATATTTTTTCCATTTTTTTTTTTTTAAGAGAGAGAATAGAAGGGAGGGAGGGGGGGGAGAAACATCAGTGTGATCGAGACACATTGGTCACCCTGACCAGGGCTGTGGAATCGAACCTGCAACCCTTTGGTGCGTGGGCCAATGCTCTACCCACTGAGCCACGCTGGTAAGGCCACTGTTATTTCTTCTCTTCTCACTGTCTACCTCATTACATAGATAATTGAATTTAGATTTTTTTTTTATTTCTAATATGAATATTCAAAGCTATAAATTTGCTTTCATGCTTTGCTTTAGCTGCATTCCATAAATTTCACATATTATGTTTATATCCTTATTTATTTCAAAATATTTTCCAATTTCTCTTTTTTTAAAAATATATCTTTATTGATTTCAGAGAGAGGGAGAGAGAAGGAGAAAGAGAGCTGAAACATCAGTGATGAGAGAGTCATCACTGATCGGCTGCCTCCTGCACGCCCTGACTGGGGATCAAGCCTGCATTCTGAGCATGTGCCCTGACCGGGAATCGAACTGCGATCTCCTGGATCCCAGGTCAATGCTCAACCGCTGAGCCTTGCCTGGCCAGGCTCTAATTTCTCTTGTGGGTTATTTAGAAGCATGTGGTTTAGTTTCCAAATATTTGAAGGTTTTCTAGATAGTTTCCTGGTATTGATTTTACTTTAACTCTGTTATGGTCATAGAACATCCTCTATATGCTTTTAGGTTTTTTCAATTTATAGCCCAATACAAGCTGAATGTTTGTGTGAACTTGACAAGAACATATATTGGGTTGAGTATCCTCTGTCAGTTTGAGTTGATTGTTAGTAGTACTCAGGTTTTCTGTATCCTTGTTCATTTTCTGTCTAATTGTTCTTCAGTTTCTGAGAGCATAGTGTTCAAACCTCCAACCTTAATAATGGATTTTTCCTTCAGTTTTGTGAGATTTTGCTGCATGTATATTGACACTCTGTAATTAGCTGTACTGTTCTGTATTCTTGATAAATTTATTTCTTTATCATTATGAACTGTCTCTCTTTATCTCTGTTTTGAACTCTCCTTTGTCTGATATTGATATAGCCATCTAGTTTTCTTATGATTGGTATATGCCTGGTATCTCCTTCTATCCTTTTACTTTTAACCTGTGACTTTATATAGGCGTCCTCTCTTTGCACTGTTCTTGGTAACTGAGATTTAATCTCAGTTCAAATTGTATAAAGCAAGGTCTGCCTATAATTTGAAGTTTTTTTTATAGACATGTAGTTCCTTTTAAATAGGGTGTTTAAACTATTTCCATATATTGTAATTATTGATAGGTTTATTTCTTTTTGTCTCATCTGTTTTTCTATTTTTCTTTTCTTGCCTTTGGAGTCATTCTGTGTTTTTAGGATAATGCAAATATTGGTTTATTAGTTATATCTCTTCGTTTATTTTATAGGACTTCATCTAGAGTTTATAGTATACAACTTTAACTTATCACAGTAAACTTTCAAATGATGCTGTAGCACTTCACATATAATTTAAGAATTTTATAGCAATATATTTACATTTTTCTCTTCCCTTCCTTTGTGCTGTTGTTATCATAGATTTTATTTCTACAGATGTTAGAAACCCCCATACATTGTTATTATTTTTGCTTTATATCGTCATTATCTATAAAAGAATTTTCAAACAGGAAAACAATAATCTCTTGTATTGTCCACACATATTGACTATTTCTGGCACTCTTCGTTCTTCATTTGTTGTAGGTCCAAGTTCCCATCTGGTATTATTTTTTTCATAAAGATCACTTTCTTTATGGTAATCTCAAGTTTTGGCAATTATAACTCCCAATTAAAAAAAATATTGTAATACTTTCTAAATGCCTCATTTTAATAAGTAGCCAGTATTATGGCTTGGAGAAATTATTATGTTTTTTGTTGTTGTTATTTTTTAGGAGGGTAACCTGTTCTTTTGTTTTTAATTTTTGTGTTTGTTTTTTATTGCATTTAGAAACTCCCATTAAGACTGAAGCAGACTTTCTGGCGGAAGACCAGGTTCTTCATAGTGATACTCCTAAGAGACCAAGTCAAGATGTTAAAGCGACTGTTAGAAATTTCTCAGAAGCCAAGGATAAGAACCAAAAGAAAAGTTTCAAAAAGACAAACCCTAAGAGGAAAAAAGATTATCACAACTATCATTCATTATTTGAACCAAGAACACATCATCCATATCTCCTGGAAATGGTAAATGATTTTTTTTTCCATTCTAATCTTTTTATTCTTCTCACATCATGAAGGTAGAGTCACTGGGTTTGTGCGTTTGTGGGTGTGTGTTTTTTAAGGTTACCAAAGACGTAAGCTCCTTGAAGACTCATCTGTATATCTTAATTATGAAGCTGCATTTGGCATATAGCTTATGTTCATTTGTTCAGTAAATATGGAATAATTACAATATTCTTTTTTATTTGCAATTTTTTTCTTTATTTTATATTTTCAAGGTTTTTTTCTCATCACCGTTTATCCCCCCTATACCCTCTTCCACCTCTACCCACCCCATATCCCCCCAATCACCACACTGTTGTCCATGTCTGTGAGTTATTGCCCCCCTTTTTTTGCTTAATCCCTCTACAGTTTTCAAAACTGCTTAAAATAAAAGAATCTAGGTTTAACTGATTGGTTATGAAATGTGTATTGAGGTATAATGACAAAGTTTTCATTGAAAGCACAGCTAAATACACTGGCAGGCTGAAAGAAGAAAGGGGTTTTTTTTGGTTGTTTTTATCCTCACCTGAGGATATGTTTCCACCGATTTGAGAGAGAGAGAGAGGGAAAGAGAGAGAAAGAGGGAGAGAGAAACATCTATTGGTTGCCTCCTGCAGGCACCCTAACCAGGGATCGAACCTGCAACCTAGGTATGTGCCCTGACTGGGAATTAAACTTGCAACCTTTTGGTGTACAGGATGACTCTCCAACCAAGTGAGCTACCCCGCCAGAATGAGAAAAAGATTTTGTGTGTTTGTTTTGTGCATTATTGGCTTTATTCTCAGTGTGGTGTGCTAAAAAATCTATTATCTTTCTTCAAATTATAAAGAGGAAGCAGTGCATCTTTTGATTCTAAGTAATGGACACGAAGCTGTTCAGAGATCCACGGCTTTCGTGTATAAGAGTGATAGAAGTGGAAATATTCCTAATTTTTTAGTGAAGTTGTAAAATTTAACATTCTGCGAAAATTCTGTTTGGTTTTGCCTTAATCAGATAAGTGCTTGTGCTGTAGCTAAAGTGTTCTGTGACTACACTCTATGAGGGTTACATGTAGACACAGTTGCTTCTGATTCAGTTGATCTGAAATGTGTTCTCTGTTTTATAAATTTCAGTGCTATATAAAGTAAGTTGCATTTTAAAAATGTTTGCCTAATAGGGGCAAATTCATTTTTCAACTGAGAGTTCCTATGTGATGTTTCCAGACTACATTAATGACATCAGAAAATAAGTTGAGGTCACTTTTATCTTTTTGACAAATTACATATGACTCCTTGGTTATGTACTTATTTTAAATAACAGGGATTTTTAGCTTTCTTTTCATTACAATAAGCACAAAAATGGGAAGTTATAAAAGTCCAGGAATATTGGGATTTTTTTTTGTTTTAAATCCTCGAGGATATTTTTCCATTGCTTTTCAGAGAGAGTGAAAGGGAGGGGGGCGGGAAGGAAAGAGAGAGAAACATCGATGTGAGAGAGACACATTGATTGGTTGCCTCCGGCACATACCACAAGCCTGCAACTGAGGTATGTGCCCTTGGCCGGAATCAAGCCCGGAATCCTTCAGTCTGCCAGCCGACGCTCTAACCACTGAGCCAAACCAGCTAGGGCAGAATATTGGGACTTTTTTTTTTTTTTTAATATATCTTTATTGATTTCAGAGAGAGGAAGGGAGAGAGAGAGATAGAAACATCAACGATGAGAGAGTCGTTGATCGCTGCAGCCCGCAACCCGGGCATGTGCCCTGACCGGGAATCGAACCCTGATCGCTTGGATCCTAGGTCGACGCTCAACCGCTGAGCCACGCCCTGCCGGGCAGAATATTGGGATTTTTAACTGCTAGTTTTATTACTGTCTTTACTATATCTACTTATCAATTTCTATACTGTTTATAGATTTGGGTTTGGTGGGATCCTCTTTGATATGACTTTTATATTAAAGAATTGCAGACTTTCAAACCTATTTTTCTTGTCCCTTGTTAGATACTCTTAGAGAGGACCCCAAATGTTAACATTTGTGCTGTTTAAAAAGCTAGATAGTCTTCTATAAATTAAAAGGAAGTATTCTTGTATTATTTTTTAGCAAAATAGTTAGTAAATATATATCTTTGTTGTTCTGTGTTTTCATATGGGGAAGGCGCACACAATATTTTAGATTGTATTTCTTGGATATATTTTATTTACTAGCTAATCTCTGTATTTATTGTGTTTTAGCTTTTAGCTCCAGACATTCGACATGAAAGAAATGTGATTTTGCAGTGTGTTCGGTACATCATCAAAAAAGACTTTTTTGGACTTAATAGTAATTCTACAAAAACTGAAGATGCGTAGTTGTCTGATGTTCCAGCACTAATAACCGAAGCATTTGAAATAGTGCCATGTTCAAGTTAGTGGAGGAAAACTTATTTTTAAACTGGATTAGTAATTAAATTGTGGGCTTCATATGATACTACGTTGGATTTTCAAATCTTTCCTTTGAATCTATGCAAATAAATGCTCACTGATTTTTAATACTTTGTCTGTATTGTTATTGAACATAATATTTGCTGGCTGAATTCTTTTTATTTGTATATATTGTATTGCTGCCCTGTAAGGATGTCTGCTCTTGGGCCAGTTAAGAATTCAAGATACTGGTTTAGTAGTAAAGAATAAAGCTTTAAAATGTTTAATTCAGCTGAGCAAAGCTGTAGGTTAGAGAGAAAAATAGTTATTTTGTTCTTATTGCAGGAGAGGAAGCATCATTCTTTAACTGTAGGAGGAGGAAATAGCTTAAAAATCAGGTTAAATTAATATAATTAGAAGGTCCTGAGATTTAAATTTTCTGTTTATTTCAAAGAACATTTTGAAATTCACCTATGGCTACTACTTAAGTAGCTTAATTATTGAATGTTTGAAATATTAATATTGATACAGCCTCTGTGTATGTTTAGATTCAATTAAAAGTGCTTGTTTTTGGTGTGGTTCAGAATTAGACCTTTTGTAGTTTCCTCATGATAAAGTATGTAAAGTATAGTACTTGATGAGGTTCAACTAATTTCTTATAGCAGAAACAGTCTGTGAGTTACCTCAGTTTTAGGTTTAGTTAAAATTCCTCCTATGAAGATAGTAATTGAATCCTTTTTAAATGTTTTAAATAAATAAAAGCTACTTTACCCCATGGTTTTTTAACTAAAGAATTGTATCATTCTTGGATTAAGGGCAGTTTTGGAAATCATTTCTTTATTTTCCTTCTGTTCTATCTGCTTTGTTTTTCTGGAACTCTTATTAAGTGAATATGGGACCTCCTGCCTTGATCATCTGTCAGTTCACCTTTATTTTCTGTCTTGGTCCGTATCCTCTGCTCCAAAAGATTTCTTCAAATATTATCTTCCAGATCACTAATCCTTCTCAGATGTGTCCATTACATCATTATTTAGCTTTTCTATTTAGTTTTTAAGTTCAGTGATTTGTTTTTAAATATTCAAGATTGCTTTCTTCTTCTAATTACTTTGTTCCATAGATGCACCCTAACATTTCTGAGGATACCAATTAGGATTTTCACATTCTTTTCTGTCTCTTGAATTATTAGTTGTTTTTCCCCCCCGTTGGTTGTCAATCTTTTGTTTGTTCACTTTACTAATTATCTGTATCACTATTTGTTGTTCTTAAAGGATCATTCTTACATGTGAGAGATTCACTTGATTAATGTATTGGTAGTTGGTGTGGACTTTTCCCACATTTGTATAAGCCTTCCTTTCTCCAAAAGACGTTTACTGTGAGAAAAGGGGCCTTGTTCACACGGGCCTTTTAGGATACACAGATGGGGAGTGGGCAGAAGAGCTAGGCTCTTGTCCCATCCTCACTCCCATCTCTTTGCCAAAACACTAAGCACTTTATTCAGAGGATGCAGATCTTCTTCCCTGGACAGAACTATCTATCTCCCACTCCCACCAACCACTTGGGTTAAGAGGTGGGCAAGGTTAGGACTTGACTATTGCAGCGGCAGGCCGCGAGCTATCCACCATGTGTTGACCCTGAGCTTAGAGTATCCTTGTCATTGCTTTTCCTTTCTGATTGTTGTCTCTGGGGCTGGTTTGGGCTAAGGCTTTCCTCTCTTGTTTCTTGTCCGTCTCATCAGCTTTACAGTGGTCCTGAGACTTCATTGTGCATTAGAATCACATGGAGGGCTTGTTACCACCTAGATTGCATGACCTTATCCCAGAGGAGGTTGGGATGTGGCTTGAGAATTTGCATTTCTAACAGGTTTCCAGGTGATGTTCATGATGTTTATCTGAGGGACCACTTTCAGAGAATCACTTTGAGGAACTTAAGAGGAGTCTGTGAAAATCACTGGTATCCTAACATCACCTTTAATCTTGTATTCCTTCACCGTTGTAATTCTTCAGTTCTTGTAAAATATATCATTTCAAGGAATTTGGAGCAAAGGAGAGAGGTAATATACTGTTTTAATCTGGACTCATAACAGTCTCTTCACTCATTATATTCCTTAGTTTTTTAAGTAAGCATCTTTAAATTTTTTGCTCCTTTTTGTGACTTTTTAAATAAGAACTTTATTTTGGAAAATTTCAAACATATGCAGAAATATAGAGAGTAATGTAATAACACTCCCTTCCCAACCATCATGCAGCTTCAATACTTCATCCATCTGTGGCCGTTCTTGTCTTCATGTATGACTCACCCATTCCTCCTAACCCTACCCCACCCACCTGAGATTATTTTGAAGCAAATACCCAGTCATCGCTTTAGCCCTATATAGTTCAGTACATATCTCTAGAAGATAAGGACTTTGTGAGAAAATACCATATCTTTAAAAATTAATTCCCTTAAGGCCATCAATGATCCAATCAGACAAATTAAGTTTCTGTAACTTTTTAAGATAACATAGTTAATAAGATCATTCTGTATATTCCATTTGTGCCTTGTTTTGTATATCAAAAGTGTCTTACTGGAAAATTGTATTTTGGACATAAATAAAAGCTCAACCCATTTATTATATTTACTAGTATTATCATTTTTCCCATTAAAAAATAGACATTTAAATTCTGAAATGGACAATGTATTTTAATTTAAAAGTGAAAATGGTGGTGCCAAGTGCCATAAAGCTCACCGCTGCCGCTAGGTGGTCAGAACGCAGTCGGGGGAGAGGGGAGACAGCCCTGGCAATGGATCAGGGCAAGGGCAGTTTTTCTTGTGATGGTTTCTAACCTCCACAGCCCACATGCTGAATTAGCATTTGAAAGTTGCCTATTCATGTCCTTTGTCCAGTAACTTTGTCTAGGCTAAAGTGGACTGAATGGCCACTTGGAGAAGAGGATCCATTTCAACTGGTGGAAGCAGGAGCTTAGAGGGCAGACTGGTTCCAGACTGGTTCTCCTGTTAGCATAAATGGAGGCTTCTTGAGAGTGGCATTGGGAACAAATTATTGTTTCTTCCTGAAAATTGGGATAGAAGAAAATCAGTAAATGTGAATGAATGGAGTAATAAGACATAGTCAGAATGTACCCCAGACTGAAATTCTGTTCTTTGTAGCTGTTGCCATAGATTGTACCCTGCAGTGCATTACATACTCTTACACACCAGTTGTGGCTGTTTGGAACACTTTCTGGGTCTTCTCATAATGAGAGTGACAAATGTCTTCTATTGATCTTCTGTACCCAGGCAACTTAAATGAGTTGTACACACTCAGTAAAAATGTCTCCACTTTAGGACCCTTCCAAGGTTGTGTGAAGGTTTCTACATTCCAGTTCCTGGCAGCCTTCATCTCTGGTTACTAGTGAATAATGCCACCATTTCCTGGGCCAAGTTGTGTGGTTTTGTGTCTACATGTTTTTCTGATTTTTTAATGTTTTTATTTAATTTGTAAATCTAAACTGTAGGCTTTATTTGGATTTCACCAGTGTTTTTTACAAATGTCCTTTTTGATGATTTAATCTAGGATACCACGTTGCTTTTAGTTGCTATGTCTCTAAGTTACCTTGTTTTTCGTTTTTTATTTTTAATGACAAAAGTAATATGCTCATTGTTCAAACAGTCGAGTAGTGTATAAAATACAGAAAATGAGGTCTGTTCTGCTTTATTCCCTTCTCATCATATTCCCCGGATACACCACTGTTAATAGTTTGGCTTGTATTTCCAGACTTTTAAAATATATATATTTACAAATATGTAAATATGCTTATATGAATGTTGTTTTTGTTTTATTTTTTTAAATGTTTTTATTGATTTTAAAGAGAGGAAGGGAGAGTGCCAGAGAAACATCAGTGAGAGAGAAGCATCCATTTGCTGCCTCCTGCACGCTCTCTACTGGAGATCAAGCCCACAACCTGAGCATGTGCTCTGACCAGGAATCGAACCGGCAAACTCTCATGAAAAAAAGTTCAACCAGCTGAGCCATACCAGCCAGGGTTGAATTTTGGCTTTTAAGTAGAAAAATCATAGATATTGCTTTGCACATTTTTTCACTTGACAATATGTCATGAATATTTGTACATATGTATATAAATATATTTGTATGCATGCATGCTTTTATCATACACTTTTAAATCATTCATCTATGGGGAAATCTGTTTCCAATTTCTCTCTAATGTTAATGATACTACAATGAACACTGCTGAATTTAAAGTGATACACACTCTGTGTGTCTGTGTGCACCTATGAATGTTTCTGTAGGAAAGAGCCTCAGGTTCAAAGGTCAAACGGCCTTTAAAAGACTATATCAAATTACATTCTTATTTAAAATATATATTTTTAAAAATGTATTGAGACTTGAAATCGGGAAAGTGGATTACTGTGAGCCCTTTAGAGTGGTGGTTCTCAAAGTGTGGTCCAGGAACCTCTGTGTGTGTCCAAGATCCTTTTGTGGAATTTGTGAAATTGAAACTATTTTTGTAATTTATAAGATATTCTTTGCCTTTTTTACTTTTCTTTCTCTTATGACTATACAGTGGAGTTTTCCAGAGGCTACATGATGTGTGATGCTGTCATTACTTTAACAGCTAATGGGAAGTGTGCTTGGCTATTGTGTTTTCTAGAATTTTCCAAGGTGGTAGGTTGAGGATATACATGTATGAGTTTTTAGAGATTAACTCAGGTTGTTCTCAGTACTTTTGCTGTACTCTTACTAGCTATCTTTGGTTATCCTTGCTATAGACTCTGTAACCTCTCTAATTATCATCAATAAATTATTTTGAAATCCTAATGATTTACAAAACTTTAAAATGATGCCACTGAGCTCACTAATTTTTTATGTATTAGAAAATAGAAGTTTTAAAAAATGTTATTTATGTTAATATGTAAACAGGTTTATTGTTCTTAAGTGAATTGATGTTTAAATTTTATTTTAATTTCTAATACTGTAAGTATTAATAGATATAACCCATATCAACAAAAGCTCTTGGAGATCCTTAATTTTTAAGAGTATGAAGGAGTCCTGAGACCAACATATTAGGGAAACCACTGTACTAGAGCATTGTCTAACAAACCTATCTAATGGTTTACAGACACTTTTTGTTTGTAATTGATTGGGGCCCAGACTCTGTAAAGCCAGATACTAACTTTTACAATATTGATAAACTGCAAATGATTTTTATTTGGTAGAGTGACATTATTTTTTTTCCAGTAGAAAGAGGGTTACAGTTGTTTAGACTTGTAGGATATTAACTACTTTAGCATCTGATTGTGTAATTTTTTTTTTTTTTTTAATATATCTTTATTGATTTCAGAGAGAGGAAAGGAGAGGGATAGAGAGATAGAAACATCAATGATGAGAGAGTCATTGATCGAGCCCGCAACCCGGGCATGTGCCCTGACCGGGAATCGAACCCTGATCGCCTGGATCCCAGGTCGACTCTCAACTGCTGAGCCACACCCAGCCAGGCCTGACTGTGTAATCTTACTTCAGCATTCTTTTTTGGTATCTTCTTTTGTCATCTTTTGGGGTCCTTTGTTAACAAGTTAAATAAATCTTTTGACCTGTGCTTACTATGTTATATTTCCAACTTTTTGAAAATCATTCTTCGACAGGTACATGAGCATTTCTTTTTACCTGTGCTCCTACCAATGTATTAAATATTTTTACTGGTTTTGCTGATGCATGAAATGTGCCAGTGTATAAGGCTTAAAGTAAAAAAATAAATAAATAAACATTTCCTCAGAATTCAGTTGGGGCTTACCATTCAAGTGCCTGAGGAAGATGTGAGACGGTAAGAACTAGGTGGTGGCCAGGCTTCACTTTCCATAGCCCACACCGCGTTGGTGGTTAGGAAGGTGTGCCTGGCCTTAGAATACCTGTGGCCCCATGAGCTGTGCCAGTCAGCAGCCCCGGGTCCAGAGCAATGGTAGAGGGATCCCCAGTGTTGGACCTTTCAAATGTAACAGATTATATTTAGGTGACATTGTTGAGAGACAAGAACATCTGATAATAGCAAGTACAGTAATTTTGTTTCTTGGTCTGGTAAAAGAATGGCTTTTTTTTTCTCTTCAGTTTCCTGGTACTAAGCTTTTTTCCGTGGGGGGGG